TTTCCACGCATAAGCTATTCATCATGGCTCGTTTTCTTGGAAATCACCGACGCGATTTGAACAAAAAATTAACGTCAAACTATAGGTTTTGTGGTCCCATTGAAAGCTATTGATTTTTTTTTGGAATCGGTGAACTGGTTCCGGAGATATGACCGGAACATGACATGGAAGGAATAAATCCCAAGTAACAATTCAGTAACCATTTAGCATCCACTCTAATTAATGATGGTTTTATAACGGCAATGAACAATCCATGTAGTTTAAATATAGCATTTCAAAGTGTTAAACATTCCTGCTTAGTAATTCAGCTTTTTGTTGTTTTAAAAACCTTTTATAGTCTGGCGAGAAAGTCAAAAACTGTATTGTTTTAAAAATAAATTTAAAACAGTTATCAATCCCTCCTTAAAACTGTTCTGTAATTCAAGCATAAACGTCATTAGCAATTGTTTATTAATGTCTTGATAAAATACTTTATAAACGTGTTCTATCAGTATAAAAGCAACCATAAAACCATAAGGTTTTGCATTAGTGCAAAAAAGCATTTATTGTTGCTTTTTAGGCTTTTTAAAGTGCATCATTAACTCCCCAATCACTCTGTTTACAAATTGAGCTTAAAATATGGTTCCTCATAGTTAATAAATGCCAAATTTATGACAAGGAAATCTCGAAGGATAGACGAAGTAGGATGAAAAATTCAAGTGGATTTCAGCAAAATTTACTCCTTTAGAACAACCAGCACACCATCAACGACTGACCATCTGGCGGAGAAGAGTGAAGTGAGCGTGGCCCTCGAATTCATAATACATTGTCGAAAGTTTAAAAACATACCAGCCTTCTCCAGATCTTGCGAATAGATAAAAATCGAAATAACAACCGACAGCAAACCACTGAAACTGTTAGTTAGCGGAGATTAGCTGGTTTGTGATCCATAGCAGTGATTTTATTCGGCGAAAGAATCAACTCTTTGAAAATTTCATTCAAGCGTACATCCCTGCATCGTTGGATGGTGCACTTCTCTAACCATCCGAAAGAAGGGAATCTTTTTCGGGAACGATTGCGCTTCGAGCTGTTCGAAATGCGAAATGTTGTAAAACAGTATGGAACAGTACAACCCCATAGGGCTGTCCCTTGTAGTTTTTTTTCAATGTTAAATAATTAGTCAAATCGACGTTTTACGAGGATGGACTTAATTTTTTCGATGTTTTCACGTACATTTCACATAAAATTTAATATGGCACTTAAAACTAGGCAACTTAATGAGAAGTATTGTAATAAATTTGGATATTCAACAAGATTTTTATAGGGTTAACTACCCCATTTCCGGCCTATTAAGCACAACCCGCACTTAGTCTTTCTAAATTTTGCGCAGTTTAGCACCAAACGGAAGGTTATTATTACTGATGGCTTTCAACTTTATTTACCTTTCCGTACGTACCGTAAGATTTGATAAAGAGAAACTAACCGTTGAGATATTTTCAAAAGTCTAACACTGCTTCTTGACGTCAAACTCGGCCTACGGATTCTAAACTCGCGGCCTAACGCATTGAAACGCCATTGAAACGCGAATGAATTCACTTTGGCCTATCGGATGATGATAAAAATTGATTCGGTCGGAGCGCTTCTTTTGTTTTTGGGAATAATGGGTGCAAACCTTCATATCACGCGTTCTCATTGACTTCGCTCCGTAGCTTATTAACTAAAGCATCGTATCAAACGCATAATTGACTTGTTAACTCTGAAGTCATGGATTTATTTGAAGTGTTCTGCTCTATAGGCCCAAAATGGGCGATTAGGCCGAACTAGTTCTCTACCCTACCATCAGTTTCTATTTTAATTATTTTGATAAGATCGGATTCATAAATCCTTTTCTATCTTGATTGATGCTTTCCTATTGGATTTAGCAAGCGGCTAGGGGAAATGGCTCGGAAAGGGTTTTTATTGTTGCTAAATAGCTTTTATTGTAGCTTTCAAATGGTTCTCAATGCGTTCGTCATACAACCTTTTGCGGTAAATTAATCTTGAAGAGCTTCGAGAATACACCCTTCAGAACCTTCTCTAGGGTGGGCCAACTAGACATATTCTAGTCTTAATGAGGTTTTGTTGGATGCATTAATAACAAAATAGCCTTGACCAGGGTTTCATGAATGTTGTTTTATAGTTGCTTTGTAGTATTTCATAAAACTTAAAATGTTACTTGGTAAACCTATCATGCGACACTTCACATTACTTTCAAATTCGATAACAAGATCAATAACAATATTGAGTGCTTTGGACCACATTGGGCACTTCCAGGCATGTTCAGGGTGCCCTCGGGGAATTTAGGGTCTTAAAATCAAAGAATATCAGATCTTACAGAAATATGAAGATCAACGCACAGGTGAATTATTATAGTTTTATAGTTTTTTTTCTCATTGGAGTTTTTTTTTTCGGAAATAAGTTTCAGTTGGCAAGTTTTAGTTTGTTTACATTTTATATCCAGTTAATTCGCACACCTTGAGAAAGGCTTAATGTAAATTCATATTAACAGATTATTTCGGCGCTTTCGTGGTAGTTCGGAAATCGGTGGATACCCTTTCAGCCAACCTGATGATGGAATTCTTCTTATAAATTTTTGCCCAACTAGTGACACAAGGTCTTTAGCAGCTTCTAAGATCTCTTTGGTTGTCAAATCACCACTCAACACTACTTCACTTCCATATTTCTTGCGCCGTGGCTTCTGTGCCTGATACGTGGTAAGTGATTTATTTCTTACTAAAAGAACAGCCTCTTGAAGATGTTCGGCCGTATAACTCTTTCTTTTAGCCATTTTTTCAATCGAAGAAACTGAACACTCGGTCAATATGAAATCGAATTTCAAATCAGCTGCGCATGAAGGATGTTAACAAACCGAAGTGCACCTAGCGGCCGTCTTAGGAAACACATATGTCCAACCATCATCATGCGTAGGTCCAACCATGATCATATTTATCTATTCGAATTTCGTCAATTATTCAAAAATTTGAGTGAAACCAATGGGTAAATGGCGTACTAATGTGTTTTTTACATCTTAAAGCAGTATTATACTGCATGAAAATTAAAAAAAAAAATGTATAAAAAAAATTTCTTTTTTGTATGTTTGTAAATAAGGCATGATGACGCGCTAATGCATGGAAAGTGAACTGTTTTGAAAACACATTGTACCTCTATTGTTTTGAAGTTTTTTCAATAAAACACGCACGCAAATTGAAGAAAAAAGGTTTTTTTTTATGATAGTAAAGTGATCTTTGAAATAAAAAGCGAAGATTGACTAAACTAGCGATTGAAAAAATAGGTCTAACCATCATCAGTTTTTGGATAGGTCCAACCAGAATCAATTACTCTATATCCATCATTTTCCAGGATGTTTTCAAGAACTGGCTGTGTTGGTGTTAGATTCGCTTCGGCCAGATTTCGGTGTGTCCTGAAAGGTAATCTTCGTGGTTCGGGCTGCTTTGATAGTTACTTTCGTCAATTCCTACACGTTTTATGTTTCGCAATGCCCTTTCGGCACGCCGACTTGTTGAAAAATATGTAAACAACAACACACATCGTTGAACAGATGCTAAACGTCATCGGAACACAAATGGTGGCATATTGAAAGTGTGTTATTACTTTCTGTGACACCCTATAAACGAAAAAAAAAAAACTCTTTAGCTTGCCAAACAAATCACATATAGCTCAAGATAGCCCATACCTGACAACAGAATGCATAAAAACTTTGTCGAAGATTGCCAAAAGTTATTAATTGCTTAGAATTTAGTATTTTGCGGGGTACCCGAGCGTATGCTCACAGATACGTGCTGCTAACTTTTTTTTCACAAAAGTCGAATTCGCGGTCTTGAACAAATTTGTTCTGCATAGTTTGGCCAATATAAGTCTCAGCTATGGGCAACATGTAGTGATGGCTGAATTTTTGACAAGCAAATGTACATTTTCTTTTCCTTTCCCATACAAACTTTATGATTGTCTCGTAAATCCAAATTGCATCCAAATTCGTTTACATTTGGCACAGTTGTTGGGAATCTCAATTCAAATCGAAAGAGCAGAGGGGAACAGGTGGTAATAATCAACCGTCTAATCATGATGACCCATCCAATTACCAATCTTTCAGATATGTGTAGTTATCGATCGATTCAAGACTTTCGATTAACCTTTTCTAGGCGGAATTTGCTCTCTTTAAGAGTATAATTTTTCATTTTATTTAGGTTACTACCTGCCAAGCAATCCATCAATCGTTCGCATCCGTTGTTGGGAGTATTTTAAACAACCAAAAAAACTATCATCAATCATCCTCATCCTGCTTCCTACCTACAGTTTGCTTGCAACTGAGAAACAATGCGGAATATGTGCTGCACTTTGTTCCTTCGAATTCTCATCATTGTAGCAACTAAGTCTCACGGCTGCATCGAGCTTGTTTAAAACTGCAACATTTCGCCAACAACCGAGACGTGGAAAGGTCGTTTACACCTTTCACTTTTCTACCCATCGGCAAAATAAAGTGTAAGATGTGTGGCGCAACCTTCCTTCGGGTCGTCATCTCTAGACTGTGATACAGCACAGCTCAAGGGGCTGCAATTGTGTGATCACATGGCGTGTGCTGGTCATGGCCTGCTATAAGAGAGGTTGATGCTTTCATCAGGTTGCTTCGTGAGATTGATGATAGCAGAGAAGTTCAGTTAAAAACGGAGCTTACTGTTTCAAACTCCGGAATCTGACCCTGTGCGGTACTGATTTGCGAAATAAAAAAAAACTAACGATTGAAGCTGAAGAAAAATTGGCAAAATACCACACGATGATGGTTCGTTGGCAGACTGGTTTAGAGACGATAAAAAAGCTCGTTTTCACAATCATTATCACACTTACTCGCTCACTCGTACACACAATCACACGGGCTTAAGCGCACCTGAAGTCATTTACTGACCTATAAATGATAATATTTTTCCAACTTTTCTCTCGCTGCTCGTTTTCGTTTCAATGCGTACCTGTTCTTGTAACTGCTGCTCCGACGGTGTTTATTCCATAAAGAAGCCAAAGGCCCTGGATCCACTGGAGCAGGTTTTTCTTCCACGCAATCTCGTTCGTTCCGCTTCTTATTTCTTCTCTCAACTTGTCCTAAGTGCGTTTTGTGTTTCGTGTTTGTTGTTGTGCCTGTTTCTTTTCTTCAATCCAATCTCGGAATTCCTTCGCCTGGGATAGTTTCACTTTTACTTCAAGATCACCTCCGCCTTCGTTGTGGTCGTCGCAGTCGATCGTCTCTCGATCGTTCTCGCGTAACTTCCCTTGTGTGTATCTTTTCGTTTCTTTCACTTTCGGTCACACCACACTCACCACAATGAAAAACATCACCACAACCACCTCCTCATTTGCAGAGCATAATATCTGCCCTGCACTCCCAAAAGGGGGGAGGGGGTCCAATTTGAATATCGCTCCAAACACTGCACAGCGGGCGAAGGGAGCTTTTTCACTCTCACTCTCACATATACACATAAATTACATTCCTGCAGGCCAACTATGTTTGCATAGGCTTCTATGATCCCGAATTTTTATTTTCCAACCTTAGGACACTTTTCACAAATTTTCACTTGAATTTTCGTCTCAACCTGACACGTATGCGTCGTCGCATATGTCTCGCGTGCCGCAACTCGGCGGTCTTATTCCGCTCATCTTTCTCTTTTTCAGGTGAAAATATTTTCTTCTTTCCCTCGACGTCTGAGCGATTGATCACTTGCGCCGCGGTGGCTTCAAAGTATGTGTGAGTGTAAATTTACAGGAATTTACTGTTCCCCCATCGTTGCCAGTACACACCTGAAAGCGGTGGCCAAATTGGGCTGAGGAGAAATGCTTGCTACCGCGGGGGCCTCACCGCAGTAGGCTGCTTCTTCTTTCTTCGCGAAAGCTACTCACTCGAGCTGACGGACTCGCGCGCTCGCACACTCACACACAGGCACACTCGCGATCGCGGATTGCTTCTATGAAACGGGTGGGAAAAGCAAAAAAAAAAAACAACTGAATAAAAATAATAAAATCAAGCAACCGACCAGCAGCAGATCGAGTAGACAGATCCGATTTCTCCGAGTGGCAAAAGCAAACTGACTCTACCGGAGCTAAAAGAAGGAGGAAAAGCCAACAGACGGACGACCTCGACGGATCGGTTCGACGGCGGCGACGTCGACGACGACGACGACGACGACAGAAACGACGAAGACGATGGGTCCAACGCGCGATGCAACGCAGCTAAGCGGTCGAACGGAGCCTGACTTTGCAGCAGCCCATAACCAAAAGAAAAAGGTGGATATGCTTTCTTCTTCTAAAAATGGTCGTTTCTGCACTGGCGAGAGCTTTGGGAGACGCTGAACGGAACGGTGGGAGTGATCTTATGGTCAGAATTTGAAGAGGCTGTAGAATGATAGGAAGAGTTTTTACCCTTCTTACAGAGAAGGGTATACTTTTAAAAGTTGATTATCACTACCTACTATACTCAAAATAACTAGCACGTCTTTTATTATCGTTCTGAATAATCACATATATTCATTATTTTGCAAGTAGCCGTAATATCTTATAATAAATAAAATGTACGGATTAATGGACCATCCGGTGTACATTAGGGTGGCTCAAAATACAAATTTCGCTCCACCTCACTCAACTCATCCCATAATTTGATCTCATTTGATTGCGATGAGACGATGAACGGACTGCACTGGCTATTTAAAGTTTATATTGGAATTCTAATGGGAAAAGGTTTCATGGAACTCCAATCATCTTCTTTGAAGTACCCGCAACTCTCATAATTGCTATGAAACATACGGAACTTTTTTTTAAATGTTACCGCATTTTCCTGATGTTCATGAAAGATTCCTAAAGTTCTCCTTCAGGGAATCTCCTGAAGTTCTTGGGTCTTCCTTAAAATTTTCTTAACTTCTAAGAAGTTTATGCCCCGTAACGTGGGTAGATCACCTTTTCGTGGTACGTTACGGGATGTAAGATCTACCACCGATTCCTAGTCCTGACTACTTCAAACTAGGGGAACAGGATTTTTCAGTAATCCAAGGAACACATCTTAGTCCTTGTTACTTTTTATGCCTTGTTGATAGTGACAAGACTCGGCTTTGTCCACCGAGGATGATCTTGAAACAAGGAAAAACATGAGTTAGTTAGTCTTCATCTATGTGATTCCTAATCTTCTATTCGTTGTTCCCTAGTTTGAAGTGGTTAAGACTAGGGTTCTGATGCATGGTCATTATCGGTGTCATATCTTAATTTTGTTGCTAAGGAATCCAATTTTGACTGACAAAGGGGCGCGGCTTTGGAGGGTGTTTCAACACTCCGAAGGGTATAAATAGCGGGAGCGGGAGTTTATGTAGAGGAAAGGGCTCTTATGTTGGCCTATGGATCTAAAGATTGGGCCCATCGATAAAAATCTCGTTCTTCAAATTTTCTAATAACAATGCGTCATGTGGACACGCTATACCCCGTTCTTCCAGAAGTCAAGATTCTTGACTGCACCCAAATGCAGTCAGCATCCCTCGACGGGACAAGAAAAATCTACTCGCTGACTGACTCGTTTCGAATGACTTTCTCCGGATCGACTCTTCCGGATTATGTCCGAATATGACTTCCTGTGCGGTTGTTTGTATCAAGGGTGATGAACTGCGCCAAGTGCAAACAATTAGGCCACACCGCCGCCTTCTGCGGCAACAAGCCACGATGCGATCAGTGCGGCGAGAAGTATGCGGAGGGTGCTTGTGGTGCTTCTTCTAAATTTGTTTATTGTTTGGCAACTCAGCATCCTCTCGCAGATTGCCCGAAGTATAAACAGCAAGGAAAAAAACTTGAACGGTCTTTGAAGGCGCGCTCTCAGCGTTCCTTTGCGGAGATCTTGAAGACTTTCAATCCTCCTCCCAAAATCACTCCGGAAAAAGAAAACAATAATCCGTTCAATCTTCTCCCAGTTGACGAGGACGACACTGACTCAGAGGGCAATGACGGAAGTCCTGTTGTTTTCAAAGGACCTTCAAGGAAGCGATCCAAGAATGACTCGCAGAAAACTAAAAAAAACTGACTCCCAAGCCCCCTTGGATAAATCAAGAGGTCACGGAAATAAACCGAAACTCAATCCACCGGGTTTTAAGCCTGTCGATCATGACAAAGAATTTCCGGGGCTTCCGGGAACATCTAAAACCCCAGATGTCCCAGTTTCGCAACCAGAACAGCAGAACGCCATGTTCATGATGATGCTTCCAATCGTGGAAAAAGGCTAAAAATCTCTTTAATAAAGCTTTTAAAAAAAAACTCCAATCGTGAAACCTTTTCTGAAGCAATTTGCTTCCAAGTGGCCCCTTCTTGCTTCATTCGTATCCTTCGATGGATAATTTTCCAAAAAATGATACGGTATCTCTCCTTCAATGGAATTGTAGAAGCATTTTACCAAAACTAGACATATTCAAATTTTTACTGCATAACATACACTGTGATGCGTTTGCTCTCTGCGAAACATGGCTCTCTCCAGATGTTAACTTTTCTGTTCACGACTACAACATTATCCGTCTCGATCGTGCAGATTCGTACGGTGGGGTCAACAAACAACACTCATTCTACAGAATCGACCTTCCTCCAGTGTCAGGTATTGAAATTGTCGCATGTCAGGTGAATATTAGAGGTAAAACCTTCAGTATTGCCTCGTTATACATCCCTCCGAGAACGGCTGTTTCTCGGCGAGCGCTATCTGACATCTGTACAGTGCTACCTGAGCCGCGGTTGATCTTAGGGGATTTTAATTCCCACGGTACAGGCTGGGGAGAGCTGTACGATGACAACCGCTTAACTATCATCTATGACCTATGCGACGATTTCAATATGACCATTCTAAACACCGGTGAAGTAACTCGAATAGCCAAACCTCCAGCAAGAGAGAGCAGGCTAGACTTATCACTCTGTTCGAACTCAACTCGCGTACGATCTCACGAGAAACATCAATTGGGAAGAATACGCGAACGCGGTCCGTGACTGTTCAGAATCGGTCGACGTTCTCTCTCCGTTGGATGAGTACTCCTTCCTATCGCGGCTCATAGTGGATTGCGCGCTTCAAGCACAAACGAAGCCTGTTCCTGGCACTACCATTCGCAAACGTCCTCCCACAGTGTGGTGGGACCAGGAATGCACCGACGTGAATAACGAGAAGTCTACCGCATTTAAACAGTTTCGTAAATACGGTTCCCGCGAATACTTTGAGCGGTATACGGAGCTAGAGGAAAAGTTTAAGAGCTTGGTCAGGGCCAAAAAAACGCGGCTACTGGCGTCGGTTCGTCGAAGGGCTATCGCGAGAGACTTCCATGCAAACGCTCTGGAATGTCGGTAGGAGAATGCGTAACGCGGCATCGTCGGTCAACGAGGACAAGGAGTACTCTAACAAGTGGATTTTCGACTTCGCGCGTAAGGTTAGTCCCGATTCGGTTCCGATTCGATGCAACACTCGCGATCCGCCGCTGGAAAACGATGACATGGACTCCCCGTTTTCGATGGTAGAATTCTCAATTGCTCTTCTTTCATGCAATAACTCGGCTCAGGGAATTGATCGAATCAAGTTCAACCTGCTCAAGAACCTCCCAGACGTCACAAAGAGGCGATTGTTGAACTTTTTCAATTGATTCCTGGAGCTCAACGTTGTTCCGGATGATTGGAGACAAGTGAGAGTTATCGCCATCCAGAAGCCCGGTAAACCCGCGTCGGATCATAATTCGTACCGTCCCATCGGAAGCTGTTAGAAAAAATGGTTCTTATTCGTCTGGACAAGTGGGTCGAGGCGAATGGCTTACTCTCAGATACGCAATTTGGATTCCGTAGGGGCAAAGGGACGAACGACTGCCTTGCGTTGCTTTCAACTGAAATCCAATTAGCCTATGCTGAAAAACAGCAGATGGGTTCAGTTTTCTTGGACATTAAAGGGGCGTTTGATTCTATTTGCATCGACATCCTTTCGGAAAAACTCCATGCGAGTGATCTTTCTCCGATTATCAACAATTTCCTGTTTAATTTGTTGTCCGAGAAACGAATGGCAACTCGGAAATTGCACGGATCAGCTACCTCGGTCTTCCACAAGGCTCATGTTTAAGACCCCTCCTGTACAATTTCTATGTCAAAGACATTGATGATTGTCTGGCCGAAAATTGCACGCTATGGCAGCTTGCAGATGACGGCGTGGTTTCCATGGTTGGACCAATAGAACCGGACCTGCAAGGACCATTGCAAGATACCTTGGATAATTTGTCTACTTGGGCAATGAATCTGGGTATCGAATTCTCTCCGGAGAAAACAGAGATGGTTGTTTTTTCTAGGAAGCTTTATCCAGCACAGTTTCAGCTTCAACTTATGGGTAGAACAATCACTCACCGCATGTCGTTTAAGTATTTAGGTGTCTGGTTCCATATCCTTGTCCATATTAGGGACACTGTGGCCGATATTAGGGATACTAACACTAGTTCTTAGATTTTCATTGAAGTTTTCTAAATTGTCCTGAAGTTCATGGAACTGCAATAAATAACCGAAATTAATTTTTCAGCATCTTAGAACTTGTGACTATGGCATGACCAAACACTCCCGGGTAACTAGCTCAGTAGCATGAGACCCCTGAACTGTGTCGCAGGACCGGCTTGTTACTGGGTATTCGGAGGGGATACGAGGACAAAGTATGAAAACACAGTAACATTCACATTTTCTAAAACATTTATTGCCCTATTCTGTGGCGTGTGGATGTGGGTTTTCACAAATATGTGGCGTGTATGCGAGAGTTTATGAACGGTACGGTATTCACTGTTGCAGCAGAATCTCTTTCGGCGTCGCCACGCTGGCGTTGGCCCACACGGCTGCTCCTGCACTACCGTGTGGCCGGAAACTTGCAACACGGGCTGCAAACAGCGTT